TACACAAAATGCGTATAATCTATCTATCGACATATATACATATTTCTCTATATATATATACAGTATAAACCAATCAACCAATCAGTAAATAAGTATATAAAAAGAAATGTATAATTAAATAAACAAAGCAAAAAGTGAAAAGTAAATACATAAACAACTAAGTATATATAATGTACGTGCACATATACACATATGTATTTCCAAATGGGTGCATATATGCATTTATATCTATATATATATACACACATGTACATGTGTGTAGTTTTTCTCGACTGTGCCGCTGGAACCTGAGTTGCAACTGTCAAGATGCAAGCCAAGAATTCAAAATCTCCGCCCTCGACCCTTAGGCAGTACAAGCCCTGAACCAGTCGTCAACCCAGTCCAAACTCGAACCAATTTGAAACCAACCCTCAGCCGAGTTAGCAGGCTGCCCTTTGTCGTACCTGCGAGTCAATTGGTTTTCTGGAATGGCACCAGCAAGGACTAGGACCCCAACAGCGGAGTGTCAGAGCGGAAGCTGGCGTGGTGCACAGAATAGGATGCGAACCGGTGCCCCCAGAGCCCAAACTGCAGGATTTCGGAAGCGTTTTTTCTCCACATTCAAGAGAGTCCCCAAGCCTCACCCAGCCTGCTGACACCCGGAGCGGGAGGAGGGCGTGGCTCAAAATTAAAGAGATGGCGCAAACCGCAGGTGTTGGTCTTTGTTTCCAAGGGGCCAAAAAATGGCACCACTTTGAGCCACAGCCAATGGCGATTGCAAAACCGCAAATTGGGGATGCCAGCGCCAGGTCGCCCAACAGCTCCAAACCCGGGGTGCACGCCACTGACCCCCCTGCATAAGCCACGGCCTTGCCATGTTTCCGTGGTCCTGTGACCTTGGCCTCTCCATTTGCATTTGGCAGGAGGGGCTCCAGTGGGCCATGGCTTTGCTTCTCTTGGGGGAGATGCTGAGCTTGAGGATGGAAACCAATGTCATCACGTGGGCCCGGACGCGATGGAAGGGGACGGTGGCACCTCATTTCTTGAAGGATTGCGCTTCGCGCCTGGTTTCAACTTATCTTAAGTGGAGAATATGTGCAGGGCCACAGCTTGTGGCGCCGCCTGTTTGACCCTCCGGGGATGCTGATGCATTGAACAACACTGTGCAGTGCAGTGTCATGGATTTTTAAAATCTGACGCTGCTGCATTGCAGTGCCCGTGCTGCATTCCCAACAGTTGCTCCGAAAACGGAACAGATTGTCGAGGTGGCTTATGACCGGTTGGGTCAGCAACAGCCTCGCACTGGAACTTGAACACTCCAGTTCCAGGTGAGCGCCCGCCTCTAAGGCCCCCGCCAAGTTCCAGTGCTTGGATTTTCTTTGGTTTCCCAGGCATCCAAATTAGGGCCATGGTGTGTTTGGACACCGACTCAGGTAGTCTGCAGTCAGGGTCCCACCGCATCTCTCTTTCAACAACTCTCTCCCCTGCAGCTAAATCAGCTCCTTGCTGTAGGGTCTGCGCTTAACAGAACCTCGCTACAGCCCCCCGTCAGAGCAGTGATGTGGGCTCTGAGAACCCCCCACCCAGGAGGGTTTTCGCAGCCAATGTTGAGCTAGATCTTTGCAAAGCACCAAGCCTTTGGGCCACCAGATCCAAGTTGAGCCAAAGTGCGTTACTTGAGCCGGAGTGCCAAGTTGAGCTTGAGCTTTTTGGCGTAACAGCAAAGCCGCCGCATCGCACATGAGAGAGGGAACAAAACGCAACATTTGCGCAACTTATGACGAATTCACCTGGTAAACGCACTTGGGCCCATCAAGAGCCCCTTGCAAACCATGATTGCCCTCCAGCTGATGTAGTTTTGGCTGCAGTCTTGGTCGGTTTTTCCTTCCGCCTTTCAGACCGCTTCCCTGTTCCATCGTTTTCCTTCACGAAGACCGTGTCGGGCGGGGAGGTACAACGCGGCCAGCGGCGCCGCGGCAGAAGCCTGCAGCTGGCGCCAGCCGCTGCGGCTCTTGCAGCAGCTGCGAGAGGCGTGGCTTCGCAGTCTTTGGGTGAGCAACGTTTGCTGGGGGAGGGCTTTGGTTCACTAGTTACTTTGAGCTTTCGGTTGGTTTCAGATCCCAAAGGTGGCTAATTACTCACGGCGATGTTAGAAGGGCGAACGGCTGTCGGCGCCTGTCAGGGGCAGCTGGGAGGAAACATCGTCACTTACAGTGCGGCTCAGCTCAAAACGCGAGCAGTGACATGGTCAGGCAGTCAAAGGGCGAATGGCAAGAGTTGGGCTGCAACAGTGCGAGGTTTTGAGAAGGGGAGCAGCCGAGGTCGCCATGCAAGCCTGTGAATTGATGAGCCAGTGGTCGGGAGCTTTGCTGCCTGAATTGCAAGGGGGTGGGTTTGGCACTAGCCTTATGGCATCTTATGGCAAGAACTCAGAACATGGAAGGCGCAGCGCATTCGCTTTGTTTTTGGTCTTCTGGCAACTCTCGGGGTGAGGGTAGTGCTCTTGTTGACCAAAGGACATCCCTCACAACTGTTGTGCATCGTCTCATCCGGAATTTTATCTTTGAAACAGCCCTGAGCCTCAGCCGAGGTTCCTGATGGAAGAGCTGAAGGACAGCCGGCTTGAGGGGAACATGATCACGCCCCTCGCCTATGAGAGCAAGTTTCAGCGGCTGGGGTCTGCATCCCGGTCGCCTGGGTCAAGCAACGATTTCAAATACCAAGGCATCCCCTTGTTTCCTTCTCAGACGCTTGATATGTCTCTAGTTGCATCATCCACGTTCTTGCACATGTTAGTCCCACCATCATGACAAGTCCAACTTGCAACTCCTCGACCTGCTTGAGCCCAACAGCTTCAGTCTGGGATCCGCAAGCACTTCGAGCGTGCCGCAAAGCCCCAAACTTAGAATGTAACACATTTAGAGACGCAAAACCTCGACACTTCTATACGATTCACAATTCGAGCGTCTTGGATCTTCTGCCTGCAAGCTCCAAAAACATGCAAAACAACAAAGCAAGCTAGAATATCAAAAAACAGTCTGGAACGGGACCGTTTGATTCCCCTACATCTGTTAGTCTTGGGGCCTTTGCTTGTGTTGGTGCTTCTTGCTTTCAATACGAAATACGCATATTAAACCACACATGTTGTGCAAATGGTGTACCCCTGAGCACAATTTTTGGAGGTTCCAGCCTTGAAGAGGTCGTTTGTTTTTCTTAGACGTTGCGCCCCAACGAGCAGCATGCCGGACAGGGACATGGGTTACACGATTGCAGATGTGAGCAGCCGCAAGTGAGCTTGTACTGACTATACACAGAAGTGCTTCTATCTTCTATTGCATAGCGTCCAGTTCAACAAAATACACCAGCATAGACCCCACATGGCAAAAACCAGGCCGATGATTGCACACCACCTCTAACACCACCCCTCAAACAGCTCTCTGGGGAAAGACGTCGCCGTCAGGTGCCACTCCGCGCTGCGAGGCTGCGCCACGGCGGGGCGGCTGCAAAACGCCCGGCGCCTGCTAGCAGAGGTGCGCTGCAGCGTCCGGGCGCTGCTCGAAAAGCGGCGCAAGCGATCGGCGAGAGCGCTGGGGTCAGACATGCCCCGGTCATTTTCAAGGAAAGGTGTGGGGAACTTGCAAGACATATCAGATGCATTTTTCTTTTGGTGGGTAGTCACTTTGGTTCCGAGTATGGATGTTAGGGGCCTCACAGGGCCGAAGAAGGGGCAGCAAGGGCAGGCACGGGGAAGGCCTGGCTTGTTTGTGGACCCACTTGGAAAGTGAAGCTGCTCATGTCTTGCAAAGTCAGAGTGTGTGAACTTCCATCAAAGATATGCACAAAACGTATCTCATCCGTGAACAGCCAGATGATCCCAAGTCGATGCTTGAAAGAATGAAGGCTGGCCCTAACTCTTGCCATCGCATGTCAACGATACAAACTTCCGAACTCCAGAGCTCCAGAACTCTGGGTTCCATTTTCCAGTTCCATTCCATCCCTTCTTCCTTTTCCCCTCCCATTCCCGCTTTTTTCCCTCTTTCCATTCTCCCAGTCCTCTCCACTTCCCCCCGTTTTCTCTCTCCACTCCACTTCCCTTTGTGGTTTTTGTTTTCTACTTCCCTTCTTCCTCTCCCCACCTCCTTCCCTTCCCCTCCCTGGCCCCCACCTGGCCCGGGATCTGCTCCTCCCACTTTGTCTCCCACTTCGGATCGGGTCCGGGACCTTCCCCGGCGACCCTCCCAGCTCACGGGGTCCCAGGGAGAGGCGGCTCGCAGCGAAAGCACCGGGGAGCGACGGCGGAGGAAGACGAGAAAAAAGAAACGAGAGGGAAAGGAAAAGAAACGGGAAGTAGGAATGGGAAGCAAGAAGGAGGAGAAGTTGGAATGGAGGAGGAACGGGAAAGACTGGAGGTGCTTGGTGGGGTGTTTTTTGGGAGAGAAGAGAGGAAGAGAGGAAAGAGAAGACGGAGAAAAGACAGAGAGACACGGGAGCAAGAGAGGAGACCAAGGGAAAAAACGAGACATGGCGGCAAACACGAGGAATTGAGAGAAAGCCAGGTCAACCCAGGAATACAAAACACAGAATTAGAGCACTCGCGGTTTTCTGAAGGTTCCGGGGAGGGAAAAGTGGACGTTGAAGAAATGTTGCAAACCTGGAACACTTTATTCGTGAAGTTCTCAGAAAATCCACACACCTTCGTGCGATTGCCCATGACATGGACCAAAATCGGTCAAAGCTGCAACACAACAGGCGTCAAGTTCTTTCCCAGGTGTCAGTTTCCGGCGAAGCTTTGTTGTTTGGCCCAACATATGTAAAGGGGAGTCGACGGGAAACCAACCCCCCTTCTGCTTTTGTATGTTGTGATTCACGTGTGGCTGTGGGTCAAAACCAATGGTGCCATTTTGGGGTAGGTGCACCTCCCATTTTAGTCTGTTTTAGTGGGGATTGGGATGTTCACTAATTAGGGGTACAGGGTTTTGACCCCATGGCCATGTTTTGAAGCCCCAAGATTTGGCTCCAAGGTCTCTGGCACCTTCTGGGTGCTGAGCTCCACCCTTTGGTACCTCGCAGAGGTGCGATGCTTCGTGTTTCGGGCGCGAGGTTTTTTTCCTCAATGCTTTGGGTACTGCCGGAAGCTCGACCTGCGTTTTGTTTTTTGATGTTTTGCAGGGCTGGGCCTTTGCAGGGCTGGTCGGCAAATTCTGTCGAGGCTGTAGAGGTGCTCGGCCCGTTCAGTGTGGCATTGTGTAGTTCTTTTGCTGGGCTTGAGGAAACCGCGACTGTTGTGTTTTGCGAAGGGTATGTAGATCAGCTGCTCATCTCCTTACGGGTCCCACCTGAACCAGTTCATTGGTCACTTCACGCAACAGGGCGCACCTCAGGTGCAAGTGTGCTGCCAAGCTTGTGCTTCCGCAGGATGGCGGCCAGGGCATGACGGACATGTTCTCCACGCTGCGCCCTGGACTCTTCAGGGCCTTGCAGCTTGAGGCCTCAATCCCCGATGAACCCCACAAAGCTTGTGATTTGAGAGCCATAATCAACTGGCTAGTCCTTTCAAGAAGTCAAGCTGAGCCCCTCTTTTCCTCGGAAAGCCTGGAAGCGTTCCTGAGGTACTACACCTGCATCTTTCTCTTGGGCGAGTGGTGCTCCTTTGACTTTTCCCCTGCAGGGGCAGGCACGTTGGCTGGCTGAGGGAACTTTCTATCAAGCCTCTCAGCCAGCTCTAATGGCAGGGAATGGAGCCCGCAACTTGCAGCATTCCACTTGTCAATCTATTGACTTTCCACGATTTAGAGCACCTAGCCTGGACTTGTTGTCTTAGCGGCTGCTGGCAATTCAATCACTTGGGAGTTTTGTGCGCTTCGAGATTCCTTTGAGCCGCCAGGCTTGAGCATGCTCTACTCCATCGTGGGGGTGGGGTTGAACGCTATGCCAATGGCGGCCGTCCAAGACGCCCTCACGAACTTGCCGCTGGGCGGCGTTTCGGTTTCAGCTACTTCCTTAAGTGTCGGTTTCGGTTTGGCTCCGATTCATGCGCCGGGAGCTTGTTACAAACGCGATGCGATCTCGCGATCTCGAGGGCTTCACGGCTGCGGTTGATTCTGCGATAGCCGGGGTTGGGACTTGACAGCCATGTTTGAGCTGCTGGCCTCGATTGTCTCCATGTGCGACAAGTCCTGCTGATTATCCCATGGTGATTTGGGGATCCTGAGAGCATGGGCCGGCCCAGGACAGATATGGGCGTCTGCCTCAGCATCCAAATATGATCTTGAAGCAGCCTGCTGTGCTCAGACTCAGAGACCCGAAACACACTTGCCAACCGAGTTTGCCTCCAAACTCATTTCTTGAGTTTTTTTTTGTTTTTTTTAAATCTCACGATTCTTGAGACGCAACAGGCAGAACTTTGGATCAGGCGCGTACCACGTGGTCATGGAACGCCGGAAGATCTTGCACTCCCACTCCGGCGGCCCGGCCAAAAGCTGCCGGTTGGGCAGTCAGCGGCCATCTGTTGCGAGGCATGGCCGTGTTCAACCTCTGCCTTTGCGAGGGATCTCCATAATTGATCATATAAACCTCATTCTCATGCACCGCACTCAACCTTGGATGAGCTGGAGGCACAGATTTCAGGCAGCATGACGGGCGGAGGCTCGTTTGTGGGCCAGTCTGGCATCAGCCTCTTCCAATTCGGTTTGAGTGAACAAACGAAATGGTTGCTAGAACGACTGCGTTGTTTTCAAAGGTCTGCACAACGGCAAATGGAATCGAAGCTGGAGGGGCATTGTCAAGCGCTCTTGGGATGGGATGCTAAGTACCCAGATCGGGCAAAGTCTAACTGGCCGGCGCATGGTGTTTTCCTTTCCATGAGGTATTGAAAAAGCTCCCTGCAGCTGGGTCGCGTATGAAACTGGACAGCCTAGAGCTTCCGGCTGTCAAGCAAGGCTAAGACCGCTCGTGCAGAGCCCGGGCAGAGCCGTTTGCGCCTTAGGTGCCTTCGATTCCAACGCCTCGAACTCTCAGCCGACGCCCCAGTAGGAAGCACGCTGGGGATTTGGTTACCTCAATCAGGATCCTCACTCTGGCTTGATCCCCCCACATAAATGGCATAGGGCATGGTTTGCAGGCCGACTCTGCCTGGCATTGTTTGTTCTGAGTCCTGAAGGTCCAAGAGAGGCACAATCAACGCCCGGGAAAGTTCAGGTTAGGGGAAGGTCCCAACAAGAATAGGTGCTGCCGCCCTTTGGATTTGGGTAGACCATATTAATACATACATATATATATATATATATATATACATATATATATATATATACATTTATACATATATGCCCAGGGCACATCCGCTCCATCAGGATCTGCTCCAGGGGACCCTCAGTTTCTTTCTGGCCGGGCGTCGAGTTTTTGCCAAGGAACGCAGACTGGAGGCCAAGGAAGACCGAGCTGGAGATGCAGATTTGGAGCAGCCTGGATCAGCCCATGGTTTGAACGGCATGTGGCAGACTCCGAACAAATCTTATGTATTGATGGAGCAGCCGCGCAGTTCCAGACCGTTGCTGTCATTCTCTTATAGTAACATGCCTCGGCAAGCAGCGTTTGCGCCCGCGTTTGACCTTCGGACCAGCCAGCCCTCGCAGAAAAGGTTTGTGGGCACATGCAGCATGGACAGGGCCAGTTAAGTCTGTTGGGATGAACGGAGGTCTTAGAGATCCTGGCACCCCAAAACGGGAGTCTATTTAAGACTTGTGGCTTTCTCGTTTTAGGCAGCTTCTTGGGTCGACCCTGTTCACAGTGTGCCCATTTTCGTCGCAGCGCGCCCAGAGCTGGGGAAAGGTGGCCGACGCATGGTGCATGCGGCAAGAGCAAACTTGCCAACCTTGGCCCTCCAAAATTCAGATAGGACTGGTGGAAAACGCCGGGGCAAAATATGTCGTTGAAAACATTATTTAACTGGGAGCTGAAAAAGCAGGCTGATTGTGTGAGACCAGAAGCAAGGCAGAATTCAAAAGGCAACTTGCATAATTAAAAAGGCAACTTTAGAACATGGGTTCATTTGGGTTCAGCCTGTTTTGCCGTTGATGTGACTGCTCTGTTTGACTAAACACTCGCCGTGTTCTCGGTCAGATCGCCAAAGCCCTGGACGGCTCGGAGTTCATGGGCCGCACCATCAAGGCGAAGCGAGCCAGCGAGCCGGCAGTGGGCCCCCGTTTGTCCTCTCCTTTGGCGTGGGTGTGGCTCCTGCTTCTTTCTTTCCCAGCCGTACCAGAAACCGCTCAAGGAAAAGGGGGGGGGGAGACGGGGAGGGGCTTGAATTGGTCGTACCTGGCACTGCGTCGTGAGGTGGACAAGAAGAAGTCCTTGAAAGGCAAAGGGGACGAGCACCTTGGCTAGATGCCCTACGTGCTTTATTTGTTGTACTGTAAGGATGTATGTGACCATATCAGATCTGGGGATTGGTTTGCTTCTGGAGCTCCGCCTCCCCACCCCACCCCATCCCTTGCCGAAGCTGAACCTGTCCTGAAGAGTCTCAGCTGAGGGGCGGCAAAGGCTGGTGGGGCATGGGCCAGTGCCTCAGTGCCTCAGGGCCTCAGCTCGCCTCACTCAGCTTGGCACTTCACCGGGCAAGCCGTGCTTGGAGCACACAGTCGTGGCTTGACCCTCCAGACGCCCAAAGCTTCGGATGTCCAGGCTTTCTTGGCGCGGGCCATTCGGCCCATGGCCGGCTCAAGGGGCGAGCAGGGCGAGCAGAGCGCTCGCCGGATCGCGTGGCTTCCGAGGCAAGAAGGGCAAGGGCGATTGGGGCAAAGGCGACCTCGGCAAGGCCAGTGGAGGCCGGCCACGGGAGCTGACACGTCAACCACTGGACATCCAATGACTGACGGGATCCTCTCAACCCAAATTGAGGGCATAGTGGACCGGGTCCTCGTCCAAGCATAAAGTACAGACGGCACAGAGCAGCACCTATGCGCTGCTTGCACGGCTTGCCAGGATGGTGGGGAGGCAGGGCCGCGCCGCGCGCCTCGCATGGACCTTGCAGAAGGGCCGGTCGGCTTTGGCAGAAGCGTCCGCTTGGCTTGATGCAGACCTTAGCCATTGTTGCAAAGAGGGTGTTTCTAAAACTCGGAGCTTGATTTCCTGATCCAAAACCGGGGGGGGAGATTTCCAGCAGACCTCCTTTGTCAAGGCCGTTTGCACGCATAAGTCATGCTGCCGCCTTGCAGGTTGGTGGGGTGGTGGAGGACTGTGAATCTGCGAATTGTCGTGCCTGTTTGCGGCTTATTTGCCTACTAAGTGCTGGCCCTCAATGTTCTTGGGTGCCAAGCGGACTGGATAGTACGTCCATGTCTTTTTTTCCGACGAAAGTGTGTTGGGAGGTGCGCGTTCTGCAATAAGGCCATGGGACCCAAGATGCAAGAGGGGTGACCTCCGAAAGCCATGGGTTTTGAAGTGCCGCCTTGGATGTGACTCGAAGTGCCGCGGTCTTCCAGCAGTGGAGCTGGGCATGTCAGCCGTAGCGCACAGGAAAGGGCTGGAAAGGCTGGAGCCCGTACTGAGCGCCCGGCTCAGCGTTGGATGCATTTTCGGGGGATCCGGATCAGCCGAACGTGTAGCACTGACTTGACCAGTTGCCCAGGGCACCTTCCCTTTCAACTGAGGTGTTCTTTCCCGCTTCCCCATGCCCAAGTAGAACCCGGCATGCCTTCTGTACCGAGGCCGCGGGACCCGGCGACCTGCGCGGGAAAAAGCGCGTGCGACTACTGGATCAGGGGCCGGTGCATTTGGTCTCGTGGGCAGTTCTCTCGCTTCCCTTTGCAGTGAGCCGAAGTTTCGAGATGATATCTGCCGCTTGAGATGCGCGGCTCACATGAGGCGCTTCAGAATGGCAAGCAGACTTAGAGCAGATCCGCTGTCAGCACTCATTTCGGAAGTGTCATGCAAGATCCGCTCATCGTATGTTGATTAAAAATCAAATGCACGCACACACACACGCACACATATTTCACATATACATATGCATATACATGTATGATGTGGATCTATGCAGCCAACCTAAGCAGTGCAGACGACTTTTGGAACGCCCGCTCACACCGCATGGCGGATTCTGTCGCCTGAGGCAGAGATTTGGTTCACCGGCCGCTGAAATCGACATATACTCGCATAGTAGAGGGTCTTTTTGCCTCGCCCAAACAGACAGTCATCGTAATTGCAAATGGGTCAAAGCACACTCTTCCGTCAGATTGTCTGCGCGACAGTTTGGCTGGGAAATTCAAGCACCATTTGGCAGTGTGGGATGATCAACCGTGATTGCTGCAAGAAACTCACACACGGCTGGCTGTTTAGCGTTCCCATTGGCCACTAATTTGTCTGATTGGCTGTTCTTATTTCTGCATGTTTGATGTGGCCTCGTGGTAGAAACAACAAGCAACCGTTTGTGTTTTGGGGCTCGTCTCAAGAAACTTGCAGCGAGGCGTGTGTCATCAAAATGGTCCCCCCACTTGGTGAAATTGTTTGAAGGCGGCATAGTGAGCAAACAGATCCATAGTGAGCAACAGAAACAAAACGTATGGTGGATCTGTCGGTTTCTGTTGCTCACTGCAACGTACGGTTTTGTGGATTTCTTTGAATCAAAACCGCAGTGAGCAACAGAAACCGACTGCCCAGGAAGCGGAAAGCGGGAAGAGTAGCCGCAGGCCATGAGCTGGTTCGGGGTGCCCTTCTGCGGCTACAGCTGTGAGCCGCTGGGCAGACATTCGCACTGGGGGAAGCTGCCCTTTCCATTTTTGTTTCACCCAGCATGGTTAGGACCCGAACAAGTCGCATATGGGATAAATGCCCACATGCCAGGGACCTTCCATTTTTTCTAACGAGGACTCCTGAAGAGTTTTTCTTAGCTGACACGCTCGCGGAGACCCTGACACTCAGGTTCTCGCCCTTCCGCGGGAACCTGCTGGCCGTCGGCACTGGCCAGTGGGGCGGCCCAAGAGGCCAAGACGGCGTTTGTTTTGAGATTTGGCTCAAAAGGCTGGCGGCAAAATGGGTTGCCCTGGTGGAAACATGGACCAAAACCGGTTTGCCCCTCCTGTTTAAAAATTGAGCCACACCCATTTGTGAGCCTTGTTTTGAAGAAAACCAAAGACGACATTTGTTTGAGGCACTTCTATTGCTATTCTGCGCCACAAACATGAGTTGGTGTGGAACAATTGCCTTGGGCCTCAGTTTGAAATGGCCGTGGGTCAAAACCCTGTACCCCTAGTGAACATCCCAATCCCCACTAAAATATCTCCCAGAAAGGGTTGGTTTCCCGTCGACTTCCCTTTAAATCCTGGGACCCAAACAACGAGGTTTCGCCGGAAACTGACACCTGGAAAGAACTTGACGCCCGTTGTGTTGCAGCTTTGACCTCCAGATTTTGCTCCATGTCATGGGCAATGGCAAAAAGAAGTGTGTTACTTTCCGAGAACTTGACGAGTTCAAAAATTCCATGTAGGCTGCCGCAAGGTGGGACTCGGTTCGAGGTACTTCGGCATCGTGGGCAACGGCAAGCTGCACGTCCTGGACATCGCGGCTCCAGGTGCTCCACCTGTCAGGGGCTCAGGGCTTGAGAGCTGAGCCTCATTGCCAGAGGGGGCCTCTGAGTGAACCAGCGAAGAGAAATTCAGACATGGCTGTGGCTCAAAAAACCGGAATTCCAAAATGGAACCCTGGTAAGTGGAAACATGGACCAACACCTGCGTAACCCCTCCTGTTTAATTTTGAGCCACACCCACATCCAACCAAAAAGTCCACCCAAATGTCAGACACCGCGCAAAGAGTCAGAAATCACTGAGTGAACAGGGGACCATTGGCAGAGCAGACGCTTTCTTGAAGAACTGCAAAGGTGCTCACAAAGCACGCGATGTCCGTTTCCTGTCACGGGGCTTGTGGGGTGCGCGACTTTTCCAATGGGGACTTGCGCGTAGAGTAGGGCTCAGGTTCTCTTAGGACCCATCGAGCCAAGGTGTGCGAGTGGCTCACCAACCAAGCGGTCTATGATGTGGCGTGGAGTGAGGCTCGCCTCGAACGTTCAGAGAGCATGGCTGAAATCGGGCCGCGGATGCCGCTTTGGGACCGGAATGTCAGCACACTTTGGACACGCGCGCAAGTTTTGAATGCAAATAATTCTCAGCATCTAAACCTCAGAGAATGTTCCTCCAGTTGGCTCCGCAAGATTGCAGAGGCCTCCATTTTTGCCGCTTTGAGGCTTCATAACCACAGTTTTCCTTGCAGGCCAACGAGCACGTGCTCCTCACGGGTCAGGCAGATGGCACTCTGAAGCTCTTCGCCGGGCGGCCCAGTCATCGCATCTGAAGGAATCTAATGTGCCCAGTTTGCAACACAAGTCCCTGTTTGGGGACCTGAAACGGGACGCAACCCACAAGATTCAGAGGGACCGGGCCCCCTTCAAAGTGGGCATTTGGCCGTCGCATGCAACAAACCTCTCTGTCAGAGGCTTTCCATCCATCAACACCCGAAAGACCTAGCTCGTTTCTCACGGCTTCGAACGCCAGACGGTTTCCGGGATTTGATCAAGCAAACTTGAAGCGGGCAGCACGAGGCAGATCGCGAGTTGTCGGCCTTTCGCCCCATGGTTTTGAGCCCCATGGGTTTTGACATCGAGGAAGTCTGATTGAGAGAGAAGACCAAAATCGAGGACTGGACGAATCCCTCGGGGCCCATCATGTCGTTGGAGGAGCACACCGCAGAGGCGGGGCAACGCACGCGGTTTTTCGACGCGGCTCGGAGTTTCGCGTTGCGTTTGAGCTGGGGCCGGAGACAGGTCTACGGGGTGGACTGGAACCTTAATGAGAAGCACCTCGCGCCCCGGCAAGATGTTCCGGCTGTGCAGTGTTGGGCGGAGAAGCAGCCGCACGAAGTGTTGTCTTCTTTCACAGGGCTCCTCAAAAGATACATTCTGCAACCATTTGAAACATGGCTCGTTTTTTCAACACCAAAATAAAGGGAAACCACCATTTACAAGTTGAAATGTTCAGGTGTTTTTCATGTAAGGATCCCTGTTTCATGTCGCGAAGATGTCCGCGAAGCTCGCTGGGCGCTTTTTGCGCCGAGATCTCCTCCGCCGCCTGGGACCACAGCGTAAAGGTCTGGGATGCCATGCGTGGCGCCTGGGGCCCCAGGTGTTGGCCCCGGTCGAATGGAAGCGCCAGCTTTGAGAGATCACAGCCAACACGCATCCGCAGCTGAAACCAAAATGCCAGGTCTGCCTTAGCACGTTCCGGGCGCATCAGCAGCTGGCCTATGCAGCGATTTGGTCGCCTGCCAGGCTAGTGGTCGGTTCAGTGTCTTTGAAGCTTGCTTGCTTGGCGTTGGAGCTTGCGTGGTGTTGGAGAACCACATCAGAAAAAGTCTTGAACAACCGGGACTTGAGGACCTTTGCGCATGGTAAGCTTCATCAATGTCCTTGGAAAGAAGGCATCGACGCACACAGAACGGGAGAAGGAGATTCACTCATATTCCAGCATTTGACCCGAGTATTTAGCCTTCGGGAGCAGAGACTTGGTGAACGATTTATGTCGGGCTAGCGGGCCTGCTCCAAAGCTTTGGCATGCACCGCAAGTCCAGTCTCAACGTGTGATCTCTCCCTGGCCTGCACCAGCTTCCTATGGCCAAATCTACAGTGCGTGAGGACATGTTGCACAAAAACACGCGTGGTTCGGCCTTTCAGGGCCTCTACAATATTATTCTAGGTCCCCCAGTAGTGCCTTCTCTCCCCCTTTTTTGGGGGAGGGTTCCCCTACTAAACTCGACTACAGAAAAAAAGATCGGGTAACCATCTTCTAAGCTCTCAAATCTGGAGGACCTAGTATAGCTGGAGTTGTGTTGTGCTAGACACCCCAAACCTCCTTCGTTCTTTTCTTGATGGAAAGCCTGGGATCTGGGCGCCTTGAAATCCTCGCGCGCCAGGCCGGCGACGCTGGCCACCGTGGGCGGGGACGCGATGCTGCACATCCAGGACAGCCGTTGATGTTCGCAGCTCTGCAAAACGAATGGGCTCAAGGCATTGGGTGATCAGCCCCTGCGGGACGAGAGATTTGGCTCACGGGACTGCCAGCGCTGGCTCATGGGCACTCCGAATGCTGGATATGCACGAGCCGAGACGTCTGGCTTTGCATTCAAAAGAAAGCGGAACTTATGGCTCACTCTACGGTTCAGGATCTCAGCGCAGGCGAGAGGCCTGTGCAGAGCATTCAGGCTCAGGGGTTGCCGCCGAAAAATCCGGGATACGAGGATTGCCATGGTCTGCCAGGGGTCGGGCAAGCCTAGATACCAAACAAGTGCAGCGGTCCCTTGAGGCAAGATTTGAACTCCTAAATAGTCATCTTGGCACCTCATGGCACCTCATGGCACCTCATGGCACCTCATGGCACCTCATGGCACCTCATGGCACCTCATGGCACTTCATGGCACTTCATGGCACCTCATCCCAGATTTTCTGTGATTCCTGACCGTTTCCTAGGGCTGGTGTGGCTTTTGGTTGGTGCATAGATTTGCCTTGTTGGGGGTGTACTCCCACAAGGCCCCCCTCGGACTCCGCCGAGCCGGGAATGGGCCAATCCTTCCCGACGTCCGTGAGAGGCTCATCAGCATGAGATTCTCACCGTGGACTGGCCCCAGCCTCAGAAACTGGGAGGTGTGCCACGGAAGCCAAAGAATACTTCGTGCCATTTGGCATACTTGTGATTTCAGAGCTGACAATGCACACTTCGCACACCACACTTTGTCTTGGGCTGACATTATGTGATTTTCGACTCCGGGAGATGCCAATGCATACTATCGGACAGCTCGTTGACCATCGTCCAAAGGCTGCAGAACCCTTCAGGGCTTGACTTACACCCGGATACGGGCGCCTAAGTGCTCATGTGTGTTTCTTTGCTAATCTCTTTGGGTCTCGCGATGGAGCTTTTTGCGGACCATTGACTAGGTCCCCTAGAGGTTGCCTGAAAATGCGGAGCCTTTTCTGAAAGCGAACCTTGACGTTGTGTCAGGAAGCACAGTTGAGGACTCAGGATGTATTAGGCTGTTGCGCTGAGCCAATCACTGACTCAGCACACGTGCCAACCATAGCAGTGTCAGAGGAGGCGTCGCAATGGCATTGGAGCCCGCAGCGGCGGGTTTGCCCCGTAGCCCCGCGAGCGGTTGGATCAGTCGTTCTCATGTCAGAAGCGCCGAGCTTGGATTGTGAGTGGCGCGCCCCGCCGAGGAACAAATACAACGAGTTCATGGTGGTGACAGGGAGCCTAGGCCCCGGCCGAGCATTGCACTCTCCGGCAGCTGCGCTGCACGAATGATGTGAGTCAAACCATGTCCTTTGGTCCACTGCTCTGGTGCCTTGGTCTTTTGCTCCAGTCCTTTGGGTTCTTGGTCCTTTGGCCTCTAGGCCATGTCGTTCAACTCCGAAACCAACCATTCATTCCACCCATCTGCACTAAACCTAGCCTAAACCACACCTAAGCCAACCCGAAACCCACCTTTTAGTTTGAAGATTTATATTTGTTTGATCCGAGTTTCTCTTGATCCGCTCGGAGCTGAGGCGTGGATAAGACCATCCGAACTTTCGACTTGCGGAATTTCGGGCAGCCGCTCCAGGCTGAGCCGAGCCACTGCGTCAGGGTCGGTGTTCGTTGTGAGTGGCTTCAACGGCCGCGCGCAGATTCTGCATGGCCATCAGTTGGCGGTGAAGCGAGCCTGGGCACCAAGGGTGGCAGCTGTTTGCTACGAGCGGCCACATGGAACCCGTCAAGAGTTGAATAAAAGCAATTCGAGGGCAAAGAGATGGAACAAAGGCTGCTGCCCAAAACGTGCATTTGGAAAGAATGGGCAACTTGGCTTGTATTCAAATTGATGGAGGGAACAAGCCCAGGCAAAGTATACATGAACTGAGAAGAAGCAAGAGTGGAGATTGAGGCGTTCACCAGACTAGGTTCTACGCTTGTCAGTGTCGAGTCCTGCGTCGAGAACATGGCCATGCTTGAAAAGCGTTTGCAAAGTCCGGATGCTGGTTTCACACCTTGAGGTGAACACACTGATGACTTTCCTGGTTCTGGGCATTGCTGCTGTTGCATGTGGCTTGTAACCTTGGGAATTTGTACCACAAATGGACCAGCAACCTTTCCAAAGGCTAAGAGCAGCACCCCAGAGAATCAGTCGACAGGCGTTTCCACCAGACGCGACCAACGCGAGGAACGGTTGCAACAGCTGAGGTGTTGAAAGCTGTCAATCTGTAATCTGTTGTTCTGGGTGTCAGAACGAAAGGCGTTGATCCATTCACGAAAGGCATTCACGAAATCCATTCACCAAACCCATTCATTGAGGGGCACTGCACCCGCCCTGAGGTGAAGTGCCATCCGTTCAACGAAACACAGATTGCAGGGGCCCCCAGTAGGTCAGATACGAACGATCCTTGAGTCACTTCGCTGCTCTGGGACCTGATTGAGTGTCTTCCCAGCTGGACATTGAGATGCATCCTCCTCTTGTTTAACTCACCTGTCCCCAGGCAATGGCTCTCAATCGGAAAAGCCCAAGACAATGCCTACTGTGGGACAGCCTTTGCGAGTGCTTCAAATCACCAACTGGGATTCGTTTCGGGTGATAAGTTTGGTATTTAGTGAACATGGGTGGAGAGCATTGGCATTTGCAACTAGCATCCAGATGTCAGTAGAACTAAGCGTGGCATCATACAGCGGTCAACATTTGTGCATCATGTGATCAGAATGTTCAAGAGCCCGAGGTGTCGTGCTCCTATGACACGGCTGTGAATGTCTTCGACATGGCAATGGGCCAGATGTTGGGGATCCCAGACGTCCATAGACTGGTGGCACAGTCGAATGTTATGCAAGTTGTTTTCATTGTCTATGCAGGCAATGCTTCAAGCGTTTCCTTGTGCATGCTGCTGGCTCTCCGTGGTGAGTGGTGATTTTATTTTCCGGCATGTTGTTGGAGTTGGTCGAGATGGATCCAGACCCAACTGAAACGTGACTGTTCACAGCCACACGAAACAATTGCAAGCTAGTCGCAGCCACGAATTCGATCTAACATGCCCACACAGGTTCAGGAAGTGGGTTTCATCCATGACATGCCTTTTCTGCAAAGAGTGTTGAGCCCTTGGATATCTTTCTTTTTTTGTTTTTGTTTAGTGTATCTCAACACTATTTCCAATGTTTGGGTGCAGGATGTTATGCAACCCAGCCCAAGTTTACCCAGCCCAAGGGTCCAGCACTTCGATCAGCACACGGAGTTTACACTGGGCATCGACTTGAGCCTCTTTGAGGCAAACTGCGTTTCCGACTGCGAATCGTGGGGATGAGTCGCCCGATTTCATCAGGGGACCCGTAATGGATTCTGACATACAGGCTCCAGCTTGCAGCCAATGACAATCATGTATGGCTGGTACAATGAGTGGTATTGAGGGAATATTTGCCATGTCCTCAAACAGGTTTACCCTTCGGTTTGGTAGGGTGTATTGTTTTGGAAGGAGAAAGATGTCGTGACACTTGTGGAAGCGCTGGACGGTGCACCAAGCAAGCAACGCCTTTGGCTTCACTCAGTTGTTCGCTCGCTCGCTCGTTCGTTTGGTCGAAGCCAGCGTTGCTGTTGTGACTCTGACGTAGCAAGAGCCCCAAAGCCAGCAAGGACACATGTTTTCTGAGCTTCTTTGACCACAGCAACTCCTACCTTGAAAGTGCAGGCGACAGTTAGCAAGCTTGACCAGGAAGCCTCCCATGACTTTGTCCGCCTATGCAGGAGAATGTCATCGCTAGCACCTCTTGGGCCGGATGCCTGGGGGCGGGGGGGCTATGTTTTTCAACAGCTGAAAGCTATGATGTCTGCCCCAAAGAGCTCCGGAGTGGTTCGGAGCTCGGGCGAGGGTTCCGGAAGGGCGGAAGGGGATGCCTGGGCGGAAGTGTTTGTCTTTGTCCAAGGGTAGACCTGGTGACTGTTCTTTGGGGCACCCACCAGAAGCCAGCAAGAAACATGGGAGCTTTGAAGCGTGTGCAGAGCTTGCGCAGCATCCGAGGACTGCACGGCCTGCGTGTGGAACATGACTCAAGGCCCGAGAGTCGGAGAGCAGAGATGGGTTTCAGGGCAGAGGGTGAAGGAAGGGTCGTGGTTCAGAACTTTGAGGTTTCACTCATATGGCTGTGGGTCAAAACCAATGGTACCATTTTGGGATAGGTGAATTCTGCACCACCCATTTTAGAATTCGAACCTATTTTAGTGGGGATTGGGATGTTCACTGGAGGTACGGACTTTTGACCCATGGCCGTATCGTTCCCTTCCCTTCTACCTTGAGGTCCGCCACCTCCACCACCGCCAGCAATCGCGGGGCACCCCAGCGGCCAGCCGCTGCGGCCCCCCACACGGTTGGAGCCTAGTCGAAGAAGAAGGTCTTCTACAAGCTAGGTCAGGCTAGAGCTCTAGCAATGGTACCTTTATCTAGCCGGGCTTCCTGAACCAAGATCTGTGTGCCGAGTTTGGATGGAGCCGCTACGAAGAGAAACTCGCACAAAGCTCTGGTGGACTGCAGAGGGTTTATAACGTTTATAAGGTCTTTCATTACTTGGGTCGGTCTGCGAAGGCTCCAATAGATCCACAGGATGCTCAATGTGCTTACTCTGCAAGTGTCAACGTTTCTTTGAGCGCGCAGGGCTGTCGCTGCAGTATGCGCGGACACTTCACCCTAGAAACCATTTCCAAGAAGCGCAGGTGTCCCCAAGAGTAATGGTGCCGTTCCTGAGTTCAAGGGTTGATTGTTTGAAGCCTGCAGTTCTCAAGCGACCATTCGAAGGGATGTGCGAAGTGCCTCCATCCCACTGAGCCTTCGGGGAATCAGGTGAAGCGCATGCCCCAGAAGCCCCAGTGAGCGATGGGAGCCCTGTGCTCATGGCAGGGCGTCGGAGATCTTTCGCATATGCTTCCCCGCATGTGAGTCAACAGCAAGGCTTGTCACCACATATGTGTAAGCAGTTGTACCAGTATGGCTGTGGGTCAAAACCAATGGTATCCCATTTTGGGGTAGGTGAATTCACCAATTCACCACCCATTTTAGAACCTATTTTAGTGCGGATTGGGATGTTCACTGGGGGTACCGGTACGGGCATTTGACCCATGGCCACATATGTGTAAGCAGTTATACCGCTATGTTACATGCTGAGGGAGTGGGTCCAACACAGCTTGGACTGCAATCGGTTTCTGGAGCGACCGGCCTACCAGCGGCCGAGCTTAGCGCCAGAAAATCTGTTGATTGTGTGAGCATGGCCTCCGCTGGGTGTTGGGTTTTCGGTTTTCGGAGGTTTCAGTTTTCGGGCTGGCCGAATCGCTAGTAGCTTTGAGGTGCGCCAACTCGAATGCTAGATGTTGGTCAGGGAGCGGTTTTGAATGGCTTCAAGGTGTTCGACTAAGTGTTCGACCTTGTGCTACCTGAGGCCATTCTCAGTCCCATGGCTTCAGTCATCCTGAATCAGTCGATGTTTCTAATGAAAGCGGGAACGAGGGCGCCCCGTTTGGCAAGAGAACTCACAAACACGTCCAACCACTGCGTAACCTTTGATCATTGCATTTAAGGGCTGCCGCCAGTTCGATTCAATGGGGACAAGCACCGCCGGCGCTGACGCAGTCAGGGTTTCAAGCAGTTCTGTCTATGGTTGAAGCCGTTTGGGTATGGGTCACAGTTAAACAACCAGGGGACCGCAGGCTTTAAGTCCTTGCTTCCATTACCAGGATTCCATTTTGGGTACCCATTTTTCACCCACGCTGCGTCAAAAGAGAGCGATTTCGAGAGAGAGAGAGAGAGAGAGAGAGCCTCAGAGACGTTGCCAATCATCGGAGCCTTTTGAAAAGAACCTGTGATGCTGAGGCTGGGTTTGCTAATCCAATTGTTGTGTGGCACTCATTTCAATTTTTGTGAGTGGCTTCCCCACCTAAAATGGAAGCAACCCTTGCAAACAACACGTTCAATTCATGTCATACCAAGGTCACGGGGCAATGGGACGATGCACTCTTTTGACCATCCCGGGTGCTTGCAATTTAGGGCTGGCCTTGATGTTTTGTTTCCCGAGGGGGATGTCAACACACAGGGTTGCTCCGAAAGTGTTTGATGCGTGAAGTAGTGGTTGAAGATCCTGTGTTCGAGTCAATGGCCCGCCGCCGTGTCTTCACGCAGTCGGTCCATTGAGTTGAATGCATTTTGTGGATTATAGAGGCTTTTGACGTGCTTTGATGTTCGACCAGCTTTTGTGAGGAGTTCTGCGTTCGATTCGGTGGGCTGCCGCCGTGTCTTCACGCAGTCGGTCCATCGAGTTGAATGCATTTGTGGATTATCGGGACTTTTGACGTGCTTTTATGTTCGACCAGCTTTTGTGAGCAGTTCTGCGTTTGCGGTTGGCTGCCGCCGTGTCTTTGGCATTATTGGGCCTCTTGACGGGATTCAATGTTCGACCAGCCTTTCTGAGGAATTATGTGTTCAATTCGGTGGGCTGCCGTCGTGTCTGCACGCAGTCGTTCCATTCAGTTAACTACATGTTTGTTTAACATTTTACACTTTTGACATGCTTTGATGTTCGACCAGATGAGTTCTGTGTTCAATTCGGTGGGCTGCCGCCGTGTCTTCACGCAGTCGGTCGATCGAGTTGAATGCGTTTTTGGCATTTTCGGGACTTTTCACGGGATTCGACGTTCGACCAGCTTTTCTGCTCTTTGTTCGATTCAGTGGGCTGCCGCCGTGTCTTCACGCAGTCGGTACATTGAGTTGAATGCATCTCTGGCATTATCTGAACATATTTGGACCCTGACGTCTTTGCACGTTTACCAAGCTTGTCTGAAGGGTGCGCGGGTTGTCTTTTTCTTAAATTGGCTGTTCAGTGGCACTTGTTTGGACTTTGTACGAGTGGCTGTTCCTTCAAAATGGAAGAAACCCTTGCAAACAACACGTTCAATTCATGTTATACTAGGGTCATTGGGGAAATGGGATGATGCACTCTTTTTGGTTACAGTGGCTTTACAAACCACAAAGCACGACCATCCCGGGTGCTTGCCATTTCGGGGCTGGCCTTTTCTGGGAAACGAAAAGGACAACCACCCATGTTTGGTTTCCCTCATGTCGACACAAGAGGTTGTCCTAAGTTTCCTGCAGCCGGCTGCAGCGGTCTGACAGGCTGCTGACGTGTTTCGGCGCTGATGCAGTTAGGGTTCCGAAAGTGTTTGATGCGGAACAGTTGAAGATCCTGCGTTCGAGTCAATGGCCCGCCGCCGTGTCTTCACGCAGTCGGTCCATTGAGTTGAATGCAGGTTTTGGCATTTTCGGGACTTTTGACGTGATTCGATGTTCGACCAGCCTTTGCGAGGAATTCTGTGTTCGATTCAGTGGGCTGCCGCCGTGTCTTCACGCAGTCGGTCCAGTGAGTCAAATGCAGTTTTTGGTATTATCTGAACATATCTGCACCCTGACGTCTTTTCACGTTTGCCAAGCTTGTCTGAAGGGTGCTCGGGTTGGCTTTTTTTGTAAATTGGCTGTGACACTTGTTTGGACTTAGTACGAGTGGCTTCCCCTTCAAAATGGAAACCCTTGAAAAGAACACTTTCAATTCATGTTATACCAGGGTCATTAGGGAAATTTGATGATGCATTGTTTTGGTTACAGCGGCTTGCAAACCACAAAGGACGACACTCCAGGGCGCTTGCCATTTCGGGCTGGCCTTTTCTGGGAAACGAAAAGAACAACCACCCATGTTTGGTTTCCCTCATGTCGACACAAGGTTGTCTTAAATTTCCTCCTGCAGCCGGCTGCAGCGGTCTGACAGGCTGTTGCCGTGTTCCGGCGCTGATGCAGTCAGAGTGTTTGATGCGGAATGGTTGACAACCCAGCCATGTGGTCACACAGTTAGCCCATTGAGTCGCATGCAGTTCTGCCATTATCGGGACCCTCGGCACTCGTGTGGAGTTTCTGCCACTGGCTGTGCCCGCAATGGACTCCCCCCCCCCGCCGAAAAGATCACGGTCACTGGGGCAATGCGCGATTGTGGGATAATTCCACAAACCAGACAGCGCGACCATCCCGGGTGGTCGAAACTGGGTATGTTGATGAGGGTTCTTTCTGGACTGGCCTTAATCAGAGAAACCAAAGGGACAACCAGTCAACACGTCCGTCACCTCTCAAAAAGGCTCCACACAGTCGGCCAGCGCAGCAATTCCATCTTCAGATTCTTCTGGCGTTCTTTGCAGACATGTTTTTTGTCACGGATCAGGAAAGCAGCCCGGCTGGTCCAAGCCTTTGTGCGCGCCGCAGCTGGCGCCTGCAGCGATGCTGCAGTCAGCGGGCGCAGCAGCAGCCTGGCTGGTGATAACTTTGTGCCTCACATACTGTGCGTGTTAATGATGGATGTCTGCCGGGTCCATTTCCACTTCAGACTTGGACAGACTACTGATCCGAAGAAAGGTTGGCAGCTGTTTGCTTCCATCGAATTGTCGTCACAAGACAGATTCTACGCTTCAGGTGCTAGGCGTAAATTTTGGAATGGCGTCTGCAAGGTGTGCCAGAGCCTTGACCAGGAAGACGTGGTTCTTGTAGAACTAGAAGCAAAGCATTGTTTGCTGAAGATGTTGAAGCAGGAGTGACTCCAAACCAGGTGTTGAGAGGCACTTGTCCGGAGTTTCTGTTCGTGGCTTTCCCACCCAACATGGAGGTAGCTTCCGAAAAGACCGCGTTCAGTTTTGGTTCCAGCATGCTTCTTCCGTGCGCGGCCCTTGGACAAACTTGCGTAGAGCAGCTTGCGCAGAGCAACTTGCGCAGAACCGTTCTCGTAGAGCCACTGGCGCAAAGGCACTTGCAGAGAGGTATTTGCGCAGAGCTAACTAGCACCGAGCATTCTGCGCAGAGCAAACTGCCCAGAGCTACTTGCATAGAATCAGTTGCGCAAGCACAGCGCCATCTGCGCAGAGCTACAAAAGTAGTACGCGAAGTGCGTACTTGAGTTTTGGCTGGATGTTCGCATTTTTGTGCACAGATAGGTGCTTAGCCTGATGTATTTATTGGAGAGGTTGCCCAAAGGTTTCAGTTTAGAGCTGGCTCACTTGAGAGCAGGGTTGGCTTTCAAGCCTTTTGTTGCACAATCTCACGTGAGAGCTGCGCAGGGAATGACATTAGGGGACACTCAGCCCGTGCTGACCCACTGTCAAAAAGGTCAAGGTTACATGGGAATCACTTGCGTGCACCTGTCTTTGAGATGTTGCCCCGTTTGAGGCACCCACGTGTCAGAAACCCATGCGGTTCAGCTCACAATCGTCGCACGAAAGCCAAGTAGCGGTATGCTAAGGCACACTCTATAGCTATTTGGTTAGATCCTTGGACTTTCAGCTTTTTGGGCTTGCATGTTCAGACAAGCTGTTTCCAGCTTTCTTCCAATTTGTTTTCGGGGGGGGGTGTGACAGAAAAGAAGGCTCCTAAAGTGACTGAGGCTTGTTGTGTGGGGCTTTCACCCGAGAGCAAGCAGCGTGCTAGAATAGTCTGGGCGCAAACCCCCCTCGCTCTGAGCGCAGCTGGACCTTTGGTCAACCCTAAAAATCATTTCTTTGGTGTCAGACAGACATTCAAACAAGACTAAGTGAATCGCTTTAACACAATCTTGACACCTTCAAATAAAGATTCTCTCAAACGTTGGAGCGGCTCACAAGCCTTGGCGTTTGAACCCTTTGAGCACCTCTCCCCTGCGAACCCTGTTCAAGCTAAGTTCCCAAGGAAGGAAGATCTTAAAGTTGAACGTTTCAAGCGAGCCCCGGTTGGCTGTAGCCCCTCAAGTGAATTTAGGCTCGAACTCTCAGGTGGAGCTTCGCGCCGCCCCTGAAAAGCGAGACCTTGAAATGAACTCTGTTGATCTTGCGTTTGCGCTCTCAAGTGAGCCGAAACTCTCATGTGTGGTGGGCCTGTCCTCTGAGACAAATCCC